TGCAGAAACAAAAAAAGAATATTAAAAACAGTTGGATTAAAGAAAACATGTTTTTGTTGAATAGTAGAATTGTAAGCAGAGCTTACATTGTCAAAATATCATCATCATCTTCATTATTACCTTAGATTGATCAGTGACATGTATCGTACGATTATAGACATCAAGAATAGTGCTAAATATTAAATAAATGGTAAATGGTCTGTACTTATATAGCGCTTTTTCAAGTCAGGAGACTTGACCAAAGCGCTACATTCAGTCATTCACATACAAAGATAATTTAAAGAAGCTATGCAATTCTCTTGTTTGATTTTTCTTATCAGAATAGCATTTTTATTGTTATAATATTTTGTCATGTACTGTATTAGAAAAAGTAAAAAATGAAAGCAATCAAAACATTTTTACACTTTTAAAATATTTATTTAATAATAATTTAAAGGCTGGGAAATAGTAAAACTGGCATTTTTACCAAACATTTTTATTTACCTCTATATTTTGCTCATCTTTATCTTTGGTTTACATTATGTTGAGAGCTAAGAACAAAACATTTTTTCCACTAAGTACATAGGAAGGTCATTTATTTCTGAATTTGTACAATAGAATGATCCTTTATTAGTAACAAAAGCCATTTTCTTCCTCATTTGCTCTTAGCTGTTGCATGACTTCCCAGATGAACTGCGAGCAGATATTGCCATGCATCTGAATAAAGACATCCTGCAGCTGCCTGTGTTTGAGAGAGCCAGCAGAGGGTGTCTGCGTTCTCTCTCCCTGCACATCAAGACTTCCTTCTGTGCACCAGGGGAGTACCTCATCCGCCATGGAGATGCCCTGCACGCCAATTATTTTGTTTGTTCCGGTTCTCTTGAAGTCTTGAAAGATGGTATGGTCCAAGCTATTCTGGGTGAGTGTGAAAAAAGCCTGAAACGTTTCAGTTTTCTGTTTATTCTAGCATTTTTTTGCAACTCCTCCATCTAACCATCATTACAGGAAAAGGTGACCTGATAGGGGCTGACCTGCCAGAGCATGATCAGGTGATCAAGACAAATGCAGATGTGAAGGCTCTTACCTACTGTGACTTGCAGTACATCAGTGTTAAGGCTTTGAGGGAGGTCCTCAGGTTGTATCCAGAGTACGGCAGTCGCTTCAGCTCTGACATCCACCACAACCTTACCTACAACCTGAGAGAGGGCAGTGAGCCTCATGTAAGACAAAGGATTTTGTGGAACTGCATAATTCATCTAAGAGATTATTTTACTAAGAGATTATTTTACTGAACATAAGGAATAATATCCCTGGCTACTTCATAAGGTGCACTTTGTTGAACATCTGACAAAAAGAAAAAAAGCCGTTCTGGAGCCAAATAGGGGGAAATTCAGTACTAGAACAAAGTCAATGATGTGAACAGTGGAGTTTGCAATTTAGGGGCCCCAGGCAAAGTTCAATCAGGGGTCCCTCCTCCATATCAGCCTTCATGTCCCTGTCGGCCCTCAGTGTGACAGATTCTGTGGAGCTGCTACGGTGTTCATACCGCTATACTCTGAACCAGAGAGGAGCTCAGCTATAGCTTTTACTCTGGTCCCTTTTCTGGCCTCCAGAGCTAAAAAATTAGTTGCTGATCCTACAGCGCATAATAACAAATGCACATGTGGAGGGAGCTGTCATTCGGTGGGCAGCAACACTGCTGCACTGCATAGGAGGCATGGCTTTTATCTCCTTCAAAGAGGGAGTGAAGAAGTTAAAATATCCCTCTATCTCCCCTCTTTAAAGAAAATATACACAATATACTTTTTATAAGAAAAATTGATAGAGACCAAAAACATCAATGTTGTGTTTAAGTAATTAAAAAAATTTGCTCTAAATTGATATAAATCAAACAAGGAAGTTTGTACAAAAAATATACTTTTTTTGTTTTTTCTTTAATATTTTTAAAAGTATCTAAAAGACGAAAAAATTATTTAACTGAAGATCATTAAGCTTGTGAGTTATTTAGAAAAACCTTTATCTAATTGTTTTGATCATCTAATGAACATAAGCTTTAAGACTCAGAGAATCTTAGAAACCATAAAGTTGATTTTCTTGAATCTTTGGTGAATGGTCGTATCCTAAAAACACATTTGATTGTTTTAGTCATTCCAAACTTTTTATTAACATTGATTAGAGCATCGGTAATATTTATTAAATACTTTCTAGAAAAACAAACCATAAACAAGCTTTTGCCAGACTTACAACAATGAGTTATGCCTGAGAACACCAAGTAATCACCTGTTTTCTAAGTCTGTGTCCAATGTGTATAGATAAGCAGTAAAAAGGTCTATGAAGGTCATGTTGAATCATGAGTATCTGTGCACTAAAACTGTATAACTGCACATTTAAAGTTGCAAAGAGGTACACAATAGACATCCTCTACCTGTAGGTCTTTTTTCTAAGTTTTGCAATAAAAAAACATAATTACACCTCCTCATATTGTTGAGTACAGGTACACAAACTGAACTGTGTTTCTGTCACAAATCTAAAACCACTTAAATTTTTAACTCTGCTCAAAAACCAAACTATTTGTGCATTATAACTTCCGAGTTTTGTATTTGTCGATTTTTTTATATCTTTTCACAATTACATATTTTCAAATTCTTGATTACAATGATACTAATTGTGCCATGCGAGTCACATATAAAAAATTTGTTGCATACTGTTTTGCTCCAGTTGATCTAAAAAAATTATGGGAAACAAATTGAAACACATAATAAAATCCTTCAACTTTTTAAATCTTTTTTTCTTTAATACAACTGCAAATCAGTGAATAGATATGCTCAAATCTGTGACTTTAGGGTACATCACATAGCTGTAGAACAGAGGGTCACTGCCTGATTGGTCAGTCTGCTGTCAGCAGTACAGATAGGGCTCACTGCCATGTTTCCTTTGAGGGATTGAAAGTCTGCCTAGGCAGGATCAGAAAGAAGCTTCCTTTGAAGGAAGCATGGCAGTGGGCCCTTTATGTATATTCGTTTGATGGAAATTGACAGAACAGACAGCGCCCTCTGCTGCACAGCCATGTGAACTATAAATGAAATATTATTTTTAATCTACTCCAGTGTGATATTTATAGTTGTGTTAAGGAAAAAAAAAAAAGATAAACAAAAAAATGTAGGAAGATTTTAATACAAGTGTTGGAATTTGTTTTGCTCTATTTTGTAGATCAATTGGAGTAAAACTGTGAATGAAAAACAGAACACAGTTTTGTATTTGTACTCAACAATTTAAAGAGGTGATTTATCTCCTCCTTAATTTTGTCTTTTAAGGGGATATAAAATACCTACTTTCCATCATCATGTTACATTTCCTACTATTATTTCCAAATATAGTCCAACGTTCCAAATTTCAAAGCTTCAAAGATGGTAGATCCTAGACTCTCCAATAATCCCATTACATTAATAAGACAGCTTATCCACAAAACTCCTTATGAAACATTCAATATAAACATGAGATGGTTGCATTTCTTAAAATACTTAGAATGCCTTGTCTGTCCTAATAACTAACAACATCTACATGCCCAATTGCTTTGATTGGCTTCTTTGTAACTGGCTGACTAGCTGTGTATTTTAACAATCAACTGAAAAGTTGTACCTAATGATGTGGCTGGGGAGTATGTACTTTATATGTATTATAATGCTTTAAAAACAATTTCACTAATACGGAGTTGTCTTTATTGTATCCATAGGCAGTAAAGAGATTTCCAAGGACTCCGAGGCAAACTCTGGTATGTGTGTCTTTCTATGGATGATGTACGGTGGCAGAAGCTGTGCAAAACAGTGATTTTACTGCAAATTTAAAAAGTCCTGTGAAAAGAAAATTACGATTAGCAAACTTTAAAAAATGGACTAGCAAAGACAAAAATAAGACTAACACATAAACATGCAAAATTTTAATCCTGCAAAGAAGAAATATCTTACTCCTAACCAAAGCTAAGAAAAGCTGCAAACTAAACACAATAGAGTCCTTCCACACCTTTCAAAGAAGACTATCACTAACTCATATGGAACTCTTAGAAAAAGCATAATAAGATTCAAAGATAAACTCACCTTTTCTTTCTTCCTTACAGATCTCAGCGTCCCATTTATGTTTTTGCAAAGTGTCTCATGCTTTAATGGGAATTTGTAGTAATGCCTTTGTTCTGGTCCAATACGAATTGATCATTGTCTCCCTCTACTGGTCTTAATATCTGCAGTACTAAATTTGTATTTTCTTTTTGCAGCATTTTGTCCTTTGCATGTGTTTTTTTTTTTTTTTTTGCATCATTATGTATTTGCCTTGGGTTTTGTGTATTCAAGACATGTCTATTTTATCTGTGATTACAGCTTTTCTTCTTTGCAACATTTTTCTTTTTAATGTGTATTTTGTTTTTGTGTGGGTCTACAGTAATTTTTGTTTTTCTAATCTAATTTCTGTTTGCAGGACTTCTATAATTTACTTTGCAGACATATATTTCCACTGTAAAATAAAAAGATAGTGAGCCTCATGCTATTTATGGCAAAAAAAATAAAAATAAAAAAGCAAAAAAGCATAGTACAAAACAGATATTTGAAACCTTTCAGAGGGCAGGGACTGAAACAATAAAGGGATTATTTCATTATACAGAAGCTCCCAGATGCACTCATTGTACATTGGGTATTTTGGATATTTTTATTCTCATTGTTTGGTCATGTTTGCCATGAAGATAAACATATAAGCTCATCGACACAGTTTATCTCTTCCATAATGTAAAGGCTGTCTTTAAATTGTAATATCATGACATAAGTATATGTTTGCAAATCATTCCACTGGTCTAGTAAACATAGAAAAATTCCATTGCTTTTATTTGAGTGTTTACAGACATCTGCACTAAAATTAAACGCAATAATTGAGGTTTATTTAGCATCATATATATAGCACTTCTATAAAAAAAACAGAGGCCTTAGTCTTTGATGGAACAATATAAAAAAATTTATGACTAAAAAACTTAATAAGACTAAAAAGTAAGACATTATTTTTATTTTGAAGAAAAAAGTATTCATTACTTTCAAGGATTTTTCTAAGATAGAATACCTAAAAACATGTGTATTGCATCCGTATCCAGACCTTTTACGCCCATCCTGCATGATGAGATATCACTTGATTAGTAAACAGGAGTTCTCTGGTTGTAATGATATCTCAGCTCAAATGCAGCATTACTGTTCATGTTTAGCGCTTTTTAGCACAAAGAGTTTGAGATCCACAGCTGTAGAGCAAGAATCTGTCTAAATGAAAAGTATATGTCTGACCAATTTACAAATATGAACTTTATGGAAGAAGGATATGAAGTAAAAAAAAAAAAAAAAAAAAGATGAACAGTTATTTTTGCAGTTTACAAACATATGGGGGAAAGTATTGTGTTAGATGAGACCAAGCTTTTAGCTTTCTAGCCTACAGATTTCTCTAAAAACAAAACTTCGACACTAAAATGAAGCAATGAGTTGTAACATCAACCTGTTTGGGATGCTTTTCTCTAACGAGGGCAGTGTAACTGGTCTAAACTGGTATGAAGGTGAAAGCAGTCCAAAATACTGACCACCGCCTCATACTGTCTTTGTTCAAAGACCTCCTGTAACCACATGACTCTCTGTTTATAGATGTGCAAAGCAAAAGTATTAAAAAAATGTTATGATAAATGGCTCTATAAAATTTTGATTGAAATTTTTTTTTCAGATTTTCATTTTTTTTGGTAAATTATGAAACAATAATGTGTGTCATCATTCTGCCTTTTCTTAACTTTTTGGTTTTGTTTAAGTTTTTTTTTTTCAGTTATACTTTGAATTATCTCTTTTGATTTCATTTCCATTTGGTTTCATTCTAGTTGTCTTCTGGTTGTATTTGAGCACTGTGTCTTGGTTACCCTCTGTTGCCCCCTTGAGCAAGTCCACTTCCCTTAGCTCCCCTCTAGCTCCTTCTGTCCACACCTGCTGACTGTTTAATCAACTGACTGTCCCAGTTAGTTGATTAAATCCATTCATTGTTCTGTTTGGCATATACAGTCCTCCTCTGCAGTGACTGGATTCTCGTCTCTTCTTCATTCATTAAGTTTATTCCTCCCTAATGTCGCCTAGTTTCATGTTCCTGAGTATTTTGTCAATCGGTTCTGTATTTACTTCCTCTTTAATTTTTTGCAAGAAATCATCTCTGCCTCTTCAGCTCTGCATTTAGCTCCTCAAAAACTATCCACTAATGGTGACAATTTGTAACATATTACTTCTACTAACTGCTTTGTGATTATCTCTCAAATAAAATATCTGTAAAATAAGTTTTGAGTAAAACACAGTGTTAGAAAGAAATACAATGGGTATGAATACTATTTTTGGGACACCTCTGGTTCCAAAATAGCAAAAAAGCCTGTTTGCAAATGATGGATTTAATAAAATTTTAAACTATCTAATAAGCTAAATCAGATATTGGAAATAAATAATAAAAAAAACTGCAGTGAATTTTACTGAGTTTCCATCTGTCTGCAGGCTCACCTCTCTTTGGATAACAAATTACCCTACGTCATTGAGACAGATGATGAAGAACAAGCGGATGACATCAAACATTCGTGGCGGAGCAGAGCACCTCTGCTACAAGGTTCTGGCAGTCCTGTTCAAAGTTCCCGTCTCAGTACTTTAGGGCAGGAGCTGCAACACATCCATCCATTTCGGTCGCCTGCTCCTCAACGCCAAGGCTGCATCGTCTCTCCTCAATCCTTTAACGAGTTCTCCCCATCCCATTCTCTCAGCCTCAAAAAAGAATCAGTTTTAAGTCATTGGCCGTCCAAGTTAATGCTTCCTTCTTTGTCTTGTGCTAGCCCTTTAAACCTGAGCCCAAGGTAATTTATTTCACTCTATTTTTACACATCCTTTTTGCACTTTTTGAAATGATGTAACATCCATTTGTTTCCTCGGCAGAGTTGTGGATGGAATCGAAGACAACAGCTCCACATTTCCTTTCAATATAGAGCAGGATAAGAGGCAAACAAATGTGTCAGGTAAACTTTAAAACACACTGACTGAGATTTTATTTATAGTAGGAAATGTTTAAAGCAGTTTAATGAAAAGAGTAACATGAGGATGAGATGTGAGAGTTTTTATGAATGTTACTTCTTGTATTAATTTCTGCCAATATTTAAACCTCCCAGTTACATCCAGATTAAAGTGCATTGTAGGTTTTAAAGGCAATGATCCCAGGTTATTAAACATTTTCCTTTATATCTTTTTTTAGAAGAATTACAGATGAATGGAAACCTGTTAACTGAGACAGAAGACATGAAACGGAACATGACCCAATTAAATAAAGAGGTGAGAATAAAACTAACACATGAAGCACTGTCTCTTCTCTACTATAAATGCAATACTATTCTCAAATGTAATCAGAATCTAAATGCAATCTTTATAACTTTATATATTATGCCGGTTTAGCAGTTCTTGTCTATAGGAGCTTAGTGCTTTGTTCCCATTATGTCTATTTGGATAATTTTAAAGCTAAAGTGCTTTGGTAGAAACAACTAATTATTAATTAATTGAAATGTTTGAGTATGTGCTGCTATTTGATAATTGATTTAACACCATGGTCTAAGGTATTTTATAATGTAGTCCAGGTTATACAAACTTGTTGAAGGTTTCATTAAATCTTCCCACCTTATGACTTTCCTAAGTAAAACACTTTATTTTTTTCAATTGATTTGAAGAAGGACTTGGAAATTCCTGTTTCTACCTATGATAAAAAAAAAACAACTCACCCATAGTTTGTCACCCTTTATAAATATATAAACATATATTGCCCACTCTGTTTTGGCCTCAAAGACATAATATACAGTGTCCAACTGAAGTATTATTGACCCTTAAACCTTTCTACATTTTGTCACAATGTAGAAAAAAGAACTTTCACAAATTCTGTTTGGATATTAATATGACAGACAAAATTCTTGAAAAAAAGTGTGGTAAAATTTGACCAGAACTGAACCCTCTATCCATCTATCCGTCCATCTTCTGCCACTTATCTTTCAGGGTCACAGGGGCTACTGCCTATCTTCAGAAGTCTTAAGGCCAATTTATGCTTCTGACACATAGCCTCTGCAAGCGTCACATCAGTCACATTGTGCACGACCTCGCCCTCCGCGCAGAGGTTCTGCAACCGTCGTCGTGCACCTCTAGAAAATCCTGACTATGCGTTGGATGGTCGCAAAACCCGCGCTGACAAAAAGCAGCTGTCATTAGTCCTTGGTATGTCTTTCTGGCTGTCTGTGTGGTTGTCCTTCTCGATTCGGTGCCGGGGCGCACCATTTTTAAAAACCGAGGAACAACTACAATGGACAACTACAACGAAAGGTTGATCGAGGAGGTTTGGAACTACAACCACTTGTACGATGCCTCAGACAAATGGAAAGGTCTCTGCCAAAGTGAAGTTGTTGTGACCATCTGCCGAAGTTCTTGTGAGTTCTCAACTAGGCTCCCCCTTGCACTTTGGTGGGAAACTGCTGTGCGTCCCTAGAAATTCCAGACCGACGGTGCAGAAGCATAGCAGCAAAACTGGTTTGCGGCCAGACCCAAGCGACTTTTGATGTGTGCGGGTACAGAGGTCTAATCTGCCCTATAGGGTGAAAGCTAGCGTACAACCACATGAAGTCGCCAGCCAATCATAATCACAGGGCAACACGTAGACATAAAACCAAGCACATCCACACACTCAATTCAGAGTCCCTAGTCAACCTATTATATTGGTAGACTAAAAATTAAAGCAAAACTTGATAAAAACTTTAAAAGTGTTTTTTAAACCAAACAGGTTTATCGTTTAACCAGGGTTTAGCTTTTACTCAATGTCTGAATTGTCTTTGTTTCTTTAGGTAAACACCTTAAATGAGGAAGTCTCCAATCTGGTGAAGGAGCTCCATGACATAATGCATTTCCTGCAGTCAAATATGCCCATGCTTCATCATGTCTCTCCTTCTGGGTCCACAAGTTCCAGCAACTGGCAGCCTCATGTTTCTTTAGATTCATCTAATGAGCTACACCTACGTCATGAAACGATTAGCTACCCAGGTAGAAATGCATGGGACTGCGGTGGAATGCAGTCACACAGCAGAGCTCCAACTTTGCTGCATTCTTCAAGCTCTGTGTCCGCCTTGCATGTATGCTGCTCTGACCGAGATGGAACAGCTGATAGGCTGCAGAGCCAGTATAGTCCATTTCAAATACCCACAGTCACCCCCAGCTCCCCTTATGCAACCCATCCTCAAAACCTTGTTGGTTCATCCCTCCTTGGCATTAACTCAGCTTTCAGCAACTTCCCAGTGATCTGCCAGAGCCAACAAGGTGTCTACAATACATCTAACCCCTCAAAAGATAACACTAATCCAGTATGTTCTACAATAAATTGTGGTCATTCTCATCTTCCAAGGAATTTTCTAACAGGCTCACAAAATCTTGGCAGTCCCCAGACACAAATTCATTCTTCCACAAGTCCCAGTGGACAACTTCAGTATCACACAGCCTTCAGCTCTCTGACATCCTCACCGTCCACAGAGCTTAAGAAGAGCCAGCAGATCTCTACAAGACAAAATGACCCAGTGGGATCAAGCCCTGTCCGTCACTCACAGGACCGCGCGTGTTCTTTGCTGGGGCAGCTTTCAGACAGAGAGTTTGGAGGCTCCCTTCACCAAGCGAGGACAGATAATTACGGAACAAGTGAAAATGTATTAGAAAAATTACAACATCAGTGAAATGTGTTTGTGTTATTTTGTCATAATGATGTGCTTGTTACAAAAGTTAAAGGACTGTTCTTTTCTAAATAAAAAGTGTATTCCTTACCAACTGTTGAGGTAGCATGGATTTGTAAGGGTTCGATTCAGCCGGAGTGGCAGACTGTAGCCCAGAGGTCCAGGAGAATGTGAGTGAGATCTGAGAACATTGGTACCTGCAAGAGGCGTTGTGCTGGAGAGCGGGCAGGCGATGAAGACTGACAACTGCTGCATGCAGGTAAGACCTTTTCCATGAAGATCAGAGACAAACTGAGGTTCACTGGTTGTCATCAGGGGTAATCATCCAGCGAAGAGAGATGATCCTTAGCCTCCTTATGTACGCACTAGTCATCTTGAGTGAGAAAGGTGTGCAGCAACATGGTTCGGTCTAGCCACCAGCAAACATCCTCTCTGTGACAGGAAGCTCAGTACCACCCAAAAAACTTCAAAACCCAAGAGAACCTAAAAATTGTAGATGATCCGAAGTGCACAGCTCTGGAGCCTTATGTTGCAGACCCATGAGCTCGCTCCTGCCAGCCCTTTCTTCTCCCTACACTTTCCTTGGCAGGTTTTTCCAGAGGTGGCCCTTTTAGGTGGGCAGGAGGAGTGGAGAAAATGGTCCCAAAGGATGCAGGTAGATGAAAGATATTTTGAAGGGGAGCTGAGGGTGCAGCAGGACACTTATAAATGGCTGAATTAAAAATTTGTTTTGCAGTGAACCAGAGTCCAGCTTGGAGAGGGGGGTCTGACTGGTGATGTGCCTGAGGAGGAGGCACTATGCTGTGGCAGAGAGCTAGAGAAGCTTGGAGGTATGAAACAGGGCTGAAATAATACAAGATAAGAAAACTTTAACAATATTAAATAGAAGTGGAAAAGTATTAAGTGAACATTTTATTTATCTTGGCAAAACAGTATATCAACACTTCTAATATTCCATCAGTGTATAATAGCAATGTCTTCCCCTCCCCCAAGGATTAAAAAAAACCTTTTCAACAAGAGTTGTGACCAGAGGAGAGTAATACTGGGAATACTACACAGTCAGAACACTTTATTTCACATCCAGTTCTCAGTAGTTAGTAACTGATTAAATTGGTTATACAAGTATATCTCAATAATCCCATGACTGTGGAACTCAAGAGTCTGAATAGTATGGCGTCATTTTTAATGCAAAAATAATAAGTTGATGCCATCATATGTCTATGGCTAGACAATCATGCGGAGGCCTGCTAACTTGACAGCTGTCCAGCAGACAGTTATTGACATCCTCCACAAGGAGGCAGGTAAGGTCACTCAAGGTCATAGCTGAAGAAGGTGGCTGTTCACAGAGTGCTGCATCCACCTATAATATTGGAAATTATTATATTTCATTTTTTCATCAATCTTTACAGTGAAATAATGTGGCAGGAAAAGACATAGAAACAACAGAGATTATCACCAAAGCCTCCGTCTAATAATCAGGAAACCATATCAGTTGGTATATGCTATTTGGGACCCTAATGAACAGTTGGTGATACTGCATGATAAACGTTTTAAACATTGCAAAACTTGATTGCATTGTTTAAAAGCTAGGATCAAATTAGAAAGATAAAGAATTAAGAAGCTTTTTGAGATGCAATTCATTCTGAACTGACTCTAGATTTAGAAAAAAAATATATTTATTTTAATTTGAGGGTTTAAGTGAGATTCAGAAGGCACTGACTGTGGCTATAGAGCCATAGAAACATATTCAAGATATGGGAAAACCTCCATTATACTATTTATGTGAACATGTCAGAAATATGCTACGTTGGTTCAAGAAGAGGAAAAAAAAAAAAAAACAAGAACTGGAGTTTTAATCAGTAATTCATATTTCACTTTTCAGATTAAAGGATTTTTAAAATTATATTTGCAATAAAAGATCTGAGATGCTGATTTCTATGGGTGTGATTTTACCAGTCAGTGATTTGATTAACCATGTACCAGGCTGATGTTAGTCTATTATAGATAAATAGTGTTTCTTTCTTTAAGTTTCCTCTGCTAAAAGAGCTTTGTGGAGAAGCTGTTTTTATTTTCCAGCAGCATTTTTACTAGTGATGCTATTGTTTTGGCCCCGATACCTGGCTGTGGAATATTGGCTGATTATGATACCATACCGATACCATCTGTTTGAAATTAATGTGTGTGTGTATATATGAATAACTGCTTACTACTTGGATGTAAAATAATTACCACCCTGGCTTTTCCCAGTTGCTGCCTACCTTTGTGAATCAGGAAAGCAGACTAATGCAAAGTGAATCCAGTAGAACTTTTTATTGCCTAGATGGAATGGGTGACAATAGTTGAATAAACTTTTGGCTCTCAAAAGTTTATTCAACTATTGGTTATTGGTGCCCTATCTGTCAGTACTCAGCGATACTGCCATTTTAGTTCAGTATCGGGCCCCACCCAATACTGGTAACGTTATCGGTGCAACACTATTTAGTACACACGCCTAAAAAATTAAGAAGTCATGCTTAGAACACCTGAGGGGCTTATAGAGTCTTACTGGATAATTTGATTACCTTGGTTCCAATTTCTTTCTGTGTTAAATCACATGAAAAAAAAATAATAATAATGAGCATATTTAGGTATTAAACAAAGACTTGATAATAATTTTGGTCAGCAAACACTGCCAAAATCACCACATCCGAGTTCAGTGACCACTGAATCTCTATGGTGGATTGGCTTGCAAAGTGTTAAAATGAGAAGGATTTGTCCCCTTGGAAGAAAAGGCTGTAGCACCCCGGGGGCCTTCTCACCTGTTCTTTTCCTGGGAGCAAGTTTTTTACTACTCTTAACTCAAACTGGGTAAAACCATATAAAAAGGACTATAAAACAGGAGTAAAAAATGACAGAGTTTATTCCAGATCAGGTTGTTACAGGACAGAGAAAAATGCTTAGAGCTTGCACAGCTGTGGTCTCAAAAATCACGTCCGCGAGCGTCCGGCAAAGTTTGAGCCCCGATGTAGGTCATCACCTACTTCTTATACCGTAGCTCATGGGTCTATGTGTTGCATCATGTGGATGCTTAGCTGTCCCTATCAGAAACTG